AGCAACAATTGCCATATTTGGTGTTTTGCTTTTACGTTATCTACGTTTTTCAACAACACATCATCATCATCCACATTGACTAATTTACTGATTTGTAAAATCATTTTCATTCACATTCAAGTGTAGAATATCAGATAATTNTTTGTTTGTTAGATTCGTGAAATCGATGTGATCAACGTCAATACATTATTAAAAACACCTGAATTATTTTGTGATGTTTGTTGTATGATGTTTGATCAATCGGATAGTTCATCTTTTCAAGTGATTGCCAAGACTTATATGGTTTGTTTTTGTTTTTGTTTTTGTTTTCATTATGAATTTTTCATTGAAAATTTTTTCCCCCTCTTAATTCAAAAAATTAGAAAAACTTTCATAATACAAAACTTCCTATATTGCTAGTCGCATCGAAAAAAGATTTAACACAAGTAAAACAAAATTATCCATTACAACCGGATGAATTTTGTCTTACAAATAAACTAACACCATTACATAAATTTTCGGCCATTAATGAAATTAATGATTCATCTGGAACTGGATCATCAATGATTGCTGCTAATGGTGCATTAGAAGTTTATGAAAAATTAGTAACAATGGCAGCATATCCAAATCTAAATAAATTAGTACATCTTTTGTTAGTAAAACCAACTAATTCATGGTTAGCACGTAATATGAAGTAAGTGTTGAATCATTCATATTTGTTAATTCTAATGTTTTTTTTTCAATGTTCAATCATTAGTATCATACATCGATGTCTTCCACAGGATAGAACAATGTTACAAGTAGCTGGTATTGGATTAGCAACAATTGCTATATTTGGTGTTTTTCTTTTACGTTATCTACGTTCTTCAACACTTCATCATCATCATCCACATTGACTAATTTACTGATTTTAAGTTTGTAAAATCATTTTCACATTTTCAATTGTAGAATATCAGATAATTTTTCTTTTTTTTTAAAGATTTTAAGAAAACAATCATCATCATCATCATCATCATGATAATGGTCATCATTTATGATCATCATCAGATCATTTTTCTGTAATTATTTCAAAAAAAAATTGATTGCAGATAATTTTTTTTTGTTCGTTCATATTTTCAATGTAATAAAAAAAACCGAAATAAAAAACTATGTTCAAGGATATGTGAATATATTTTTTTTTTAATTTATTCATTCAATCATGTTGTTGATATAAAAAAAATTAAATTGAAAAGGGAAATTTAAGAGAAAATCTCTCTCAGATGAGAATATTTTTTTTTTTTTTTTGCTTTGCTTTAAATATTAATGAAAATGATAATTATCTTTGATGATTATAAATTGAAACAACAAAAAATTTGATAAAAAAGAATTTTCCTGGAAAAAAAATCAAACGTCATTGATGATTTAGATATCGAAATGATAATTTTTTTACAAAAAAAAAAAAAAAGATTGTGGTTGCCGAAAATTGCAACAAAATTCGAATGATCAACGATGAATTCGGTTGAAATTTTTTCATCAAATTTTAACATTAAAAATGATTGTAGTGATAATGTTGCGATCGCTTGGAAAAATCTTCGTTATGAAGTGAATCATAATTGGCTAAAAGGAAGAAAAATTATTCTACAACGTTTAAATGGTCATTTGAAATATAATAGTGTTACCGGATTTCTTGGTCCAAGCGGTGCGGGAAAAAGTACACTTTTAAATTGTTTAAATGGTACATATCGATCAGGACTTTCAGCCGATTCTGAAATCTATATCAATCGTAAAGAAAATGATAAACCACGAATCAGTTATGTTCAACAACATGTCCAAGAAACGATGATAGGATCGATGACAATTCGACAAATTTTATATTATGCATTTCGATTTCATAATAGCTTCAAACATGGTCAATATGAAATGGATCAACATATCTCGAATATTATTGAACAATTGTTGCTCGATCCAAAAGTTTTGGATAGAAGATTCGATCTTTGTAGTGGTGGTGAACAAAAACGAATCGCTGTTGCACAAGAATTAATGTCATTAAAATCACCAACATTTTTGTTTGTCGATGAACCGACAACCGGATTGGACAGTCATGCTGCTCTGTTAATGGTACGTTGTTTACGAAAGTTAGCTGATGATCCAAACAATCGA